GCAAGTAACTTGCCAAAGTAATTAATCATCTTGCTTTTGGTTATTTTCTAGCTGACATTGATGACATGAAAATATGCTATGTCTTAAAAGAAGGGGCTAATGCCACAAGTGATGTGTTCCATTTTGCAGTTGAAGATGGTGGTAAGTATTCCATTTTTCTAGTAGTGAAATGGAGGAGAGGGACTTGTCTTCATTGCTCTTTGATATCAATATTACAAGGAGTCTTGATCAAGTATCACTTTATGCTTATCTGCATTTAGGTGGAGTGAATTTAATATTTGCTACAGAAAATTTTATCATTTAAATCTGACACAATGCTAGTCTGCAATGACTATAGACATGTTATAGTTGTATCCTTTTTGTCTTGGTGATTTGTAAGCACTAAAGAGAGATCTGTATAAATAGGATCTCCACGTCCAGTTGTTCAGAATATGTCTTGCATGAAGTTGACTACTTGAGGTGATGCAAGGATATTGGAATCCAGCCCAGTTCCACTCAGCCATGTGCCCGCTGGGTGTATCTATACAAAATAAGTATCTTTTTCTAATTTGCATATGGTGCCCTGTAGATTCATTCTGATAGAAAAGGTTTGCACTCACAGAGAACTCAATGCTAAATAAAGGGTTGTTTTATCTCACCTATCTCAGGATACCTAATGTTTTTCTTAGTTTGAGGATTGTTTTTTTATGACCTAGTCTAGCTAAAAAATTTTCCTTGGTGAATTCTGAAGAATACTGCAGAGAATGGGTATAAATTTCTGACAGAGTCCAATTTTTCATCATTGTGACCAAAATGCCTGATATAAGCAACATAGAGGAGGAAAGATTTCTTTTGCCTCACAGTATCAGAGGTTCCTGTCCAAGGCCAGCCAGCTCCATTGCTTTGGAGTTGAGGTGAGGCAGAACTTCATGGTAAAAGAGCATAGCAGAGCAAAGCTGCTCAATTCAAGGTAGCCAGGAACCAAAGAGAGAGAGAAGAGAGGAAGAGGCCATGAACAATATGTCCCCAAGCATGTGCCTTATGACTTACAGCCTTTAACTATGCCCCAACTGTCTACAGTTTCCACCTCCTCCCAGTAAACAATTCAAATTATTAATCCACCAAATGGATTAATCTATTGATGAAGTCAGAGACTGCATGATCCAATCACTTCCCCAAGCCCCACATCTGTATGCTGATGCACTGGGGTCCAAGTCTTCAACACTTAAGCTTTGGTCAAACATTCCAGACCCAAACTGTAACGTTTTCCATCTAAGTTTCTGGGCAATGTTATTACCATTAATTCCCCCAAACCGGCTGCCACTTATGCTCTTTCCAGCTCCCAGTGCCTCTTCTTCTAAACCCTGTGGACTAGGAGAAAACTGATCACTTCTGGATTGGTTATAAAGATGTTTTTGTTCTTGTGTGCCCTCGTGGGAAACAGAAGAGACTCAGCAAGTGCTTGTGTTGTGTGAACGGGACACCGGAAGGAGGGCATGTATGAGAGAAAAGAGGGAGAAGCAAAATGAGTCAGACTCAGTCATCTGTTTCCTTATGATGCCTTTTAAAAATGGCACACTATTAAGTCATCCATCTCAAAATGATTGCATCCTTAGCCTCCATATTCATTGAAGCAGTAAATAGAATTTGTTTAAAATATCACTGGACACAACATGATCACAGCTCTCAGAAATGACATCTGCTGAGTGTGTGCCAGAGAGGCAAAAAAGTGTGTTAACTTGGGCTCAACTATTTAAATCAGAGCTTAATAGAGCTAATGCCTTTATTTCGAGAGTGACAAGTCACAGCTTAGTACTCTACATATTGAAAAAAGGAATCCTAGCAAAGAACACGGTTCTAAAGAAAGAAATCAAATTTATTTTTTAAAAAA